TAGTAGGCTAATGCCACTGTCTTGATAAAGTTGCACTCTGCACATTGCATAGCGTTTTTAACCCAATAGTAGGACGTAAAACTCCATGCACTTCGGTAGATACTAACTTCTGAGCAGGCAAAGACATACAACAATATTAAGGGTCACAGGTAAATTTCAACATTGAACTATTGAACAATCGACTGATATTCCTTCAGTAACGGCGCCAGTGGGGATACAGGAGCATTTGCCCTCATAGAAAAATGCTTTGAAAACCCAATTGTACCCCCATATTATTTTTAAAATATGGTTTCCATACGTTTTTGCTCTGAAATATGTGTCAAATCAAATCAATTCAATCCTTTAAACATTCTAGAGAGAATCCTCTCAGACGCTCTTATATTCCTTGTATAGAATTTTAATTCTGTGACACACGGATCGATCTGCCGATGTGTAGTATCAATGGCGTTTCTATGAATCAGTTGGGGGTCAAGTGAGAGACACAGGAATGTCAATGGGGGTGTGGGGCTTAGAGACATTATTTTCTCTATGAAGACGGACCAGGCTCAATATAGTTGGTTTCCTTGAACGACTCGTATGTTGCCGACTCTTTAATTTATCATTAACAGTTAACCAGAATAAAGTTCATATTCCCAAATTTTTAAAGTTTTAAGACTCCCTAATCGCAATCTCTTGTTCACCCCCAGTAAACCACACTCGTACCATTTAACTGTAGAAAGGCATGTTAATCATCTTTAGTTTCAACTCTGAAGGTTCACAAGTCGAGTTGAATCGACCATCTCAATTCATAATCCTTCAGATGTTTAAGGTGGTGTTAATTCGAATCTGTAAGATACTGTCTGCACTTGTCCTTCATGGTGATTTATAGGGATGCAACGATGAATCGTGAATCGCGATTCTTTCCTTTTTATCGATGCTTGCGTCGGATGAAAATAACCGTGATGCATCGGCAAGATTATTTATTAACTCCCTTTAATAAGAAATGATACGGAATTCTTTGTATATCAGAATGTGTGTCATGATTGTATATTTTATGAATAATTTTCACCCAAAAATTTGTTCTTCGAAAATTGAGTATTTTATTTCACAATTCTTTACTTCTACTTAATTGTTATGATTTTAAATATGTTTGCTATATTTTCTCTTTCCTTCTCTAATAAATGAATCGCGATTATTATCGCAATAAATCGTATCGTTTAGTGCATCGCAACGTAGCTTCAAGAATCGTTGCCGCCCTAGTGATTTTTTATTCTAAAATCATCTTTTCATCCGAAACATACCTTTTCTGACATTATAAAGTCACAAATCTGGAAATTGCACCGAATTTATACGCACAAGAGGGATTTCGAGGAGGCTTGTTCGATTGTTTTCCAAAAATTGCGTGAACGTGGCAAGAAAGTTCCTGAGATGTATCAAAAGTTTATCCTTGTAACAACCCTCGCTGTCAAACCTGTCCCTTCATTTTACCAGCAAATTCTTTACGAAATAGACACACAGATTCCATATTTCAAATAAATAAAAAACTCAGTTGCAACAGCATAAATATCATTTATCTCATTTCTTCTATGTGACGAACAATACGTTGGAGAGACAAACAATTCTTTAAGGGTTCGTTTCATTCATAAAAGCCTGACATCAACTCTTAAAAATATTGAATAAAACCAGTTCAAAACATCGAAAACAACCTGATCATCAATAAGCAGACCTGAAAATTGTTCTTATTGAACAGATATACGAACAACCTGGTATTGATACAAAGAAAATTCGACCCATTCGCAAAAATTATTGAATAAACAAATTACAAACCATGCATCCTTTAGGAATGAACAGTCAAGTTGATTTCCAGCTTATACAACAACACAGATTACAGCACAATACAACAACACAGCTAGTCAAGTTCCCCGAACAATTATCCGCCTATGCAAAGAATTGCGAGAAAAATTTCCAACAGTCTTTACAGATGATTTAGTGATCGCCTTTACCCGAAATATAATAGTAAATTTATTATTGCTCATTTATGCTACAAACTTACCATTCAATAATTTCCTCGCCATTATCACTCTCCCCATAACAAAATAATACTTATACATGCATCCTATTTTTATTCTATTAATCAAATTTTTTGAATATGTATTTAAACGTGTATGAAATATGCATTTTCCTAAGTTCCACCAGTGTATTATGAATCCCATGGTTATTAATGTTCCCGCGGGAACCAGTATTCTTCTTATATATTTCAGATTATTGATTTTCATTTCAGATATTCTATATTATTATTCACACTGCACAAATTAGAGGTTACGCCTTTACGCCTATGCTTTCGTAGTATTACTTAACTGCCATGTCACACCTCAAATACTCTCTGTCATAATAATGTCTTTTTACGTATGCAAATGAATACATCATCATTTCATTTAAGCTGTAGGTTTGATTATGTAAAGTCTATTATGCAAGGCTTGATAATGCAATGTACAAAATGCAACGTATATAATGCAAAGTGTGAAATGCAAAGCGTATAACGCAAAGTGTTAAATGTTATCTGCATTCGTGTGGCATTTCATTAGATTTTGGAGAATACTTATACATATTGCATTTTGTAATGACGACATGGGTCATCATGTGGATTGTAAAGAGGTTTTTCTAGCCTTTTTATGTGTATCGGGGACACCTTTGACTTCTATTTATCTGCGACCCAGCTTATCAACTCGGATTCCCTTCAGCTCGGTAGTAATTTTTTTACGGCTAACGTTTGATGTGGAAAACTGTATGTAATCTACAGTGGATCTGGTGCTCATGCTTTATAACATACTCTGGTCG